CGCAAAGTTAGCGGTCTCGGCGACATATACACATCGGCGATTTCGCCGACTCTGAGCCCTGTTTTTGGCAAATTCTGTTGTTCCAGTTGACCAAACTCATAGCTATTTCTTTAGAACTCCATTTTTTCTATCAGTTGAGCACAAGAAACCGCCCATTTACCGATTTGAACTACCCAATAAAGTGGTCAGAAATTGGCCAATTTCACACAAATTAAAAAAGATGCCAATTTCAAAATAGGGTCCAGAATAAACAATGTAGACATTCATGGCACTAAAATAACATATCCTCTGCTCATTAGTCACATCTCTAGACCCCTCTTATATTACTATTGCTTTCTATTTTGATCTTTTATTAATACAAAAAATACAACATTTACTGTTATGCAGACTACTGCATTATTGTAAAAATGGTATAAATAATATCAGTGCACTAGTGAAAGAATATTAGACTCCCCAGTTGACGTGTATTGGACGTGTGGTGAGACTTGCTTACTCTTGAACATTGGTAAAAATCGAACATTTCCACTACTTTGAGCTCAATTTCAAGGTCATTTTCATCGTGAAACTAATCAAAATCATCTCTATTTCTGCAATATGCTTTCACTTTATCACGTGAGACCATGAAAATGAGAATACAACGATAAATACTATACGAAAATACACCTCAAAGTCGGCGTTTTAATCCAAAAGAACAGTCAGTTTTTTTTTCTCATTATGCATTGCGTGCTGCAGGATTTTTTTTATGTGGTGCACACTGACCACACAGGCCCATTCTCTCACGTGTGAGCCTACCAGCTTTCTCCTGCTTGGCTTGAAGCCGCTAGAATTATTGAGTATATATACATCCGAAACACTGGCTCGTAAGATGTATATATACGACCAAAACAGTCAAAGAGTTAAACAGCAGCAAAAATCAAACATTCCCACTAATCTGAGCTCAATTTCAAGGTATTTTCAGTATTAAAACCAATCAAAATCATCTCTTTTCTGAATATATCTTCCATGAGAGACCAAGAAACTGTGAATACAACTGTAAAAAACATGAAAATACACCACAAGGTTTTAATCCAAAAAACATGGTCGCTTTTTTTTTCTCATTATGCACTGTGTGCTGCACGATTTGCTTTATATGGTGCACCCTTACCACAGAGATGCATTCTCTCACATCTAGGCTCAAATTTACTGCTCACAGCTTATATGAGTGAGATGAGTTCATGACGTAGTACCATGGCTTGAACCCTGGCTTCAAAGCCATAGAACTATGGGACGGACCCCCTCAAAGAGTTAAGTCTCCCTCTCTCCATATCACAGATGCCAGCATGGTGCAGACAATTAAAATCTTTCCCCCATTAGAATCACTGTGATACATACTCTGCCAAACACCCTAGGAATGAGGAGACATGCTTGCTGACCATCTCAAGCTAACAATTTCAACACTCTTCTTACACAACCAAGAAAATGAGCCACAAAATGTTAAGGCATTAGACATGCCCTCACTGGCTGATAAGAGAAGACATGATAACCACACACAAAGTAAGATTATTGGATACATTATTACATACATGGGGAAAGTTAAACTTGTGGGGTTTAGAGAACACCTAGGAAAATGGGAGGCATTCAGGTTTAATCCAAGGAAGGGAAGTACAGGTCCAATTCCTCTGATTAAGAGCCCCCTCATTGGCATTAACCCTTTTAGGGTTTTGGCTGTACTAGTACGGCTTACGCACCAGGGTTTTTGACGTACTAGTACGCATAAATTCTAGCGCCCTCAAATCTAGTGAGAGAAAGCTGGTAGGCCTACATATGAAAGAATGGGTCTATGTGGTCAGTGTTCACTTTAAATTACATTCACTTGTTAGTTAAATTACATTCACTTGTTAGACGAAGAATGAGGGGAGACCTGATCGAAGTGTATAAGTGGAAGATAGGTATTAATAAAGGGGATATTAATAAGGTCTTGAGGATATCTCTCCAAGAGAGAACCCGCAGTAATGGATTTAAATTAGATAAGTTTAGATTTAGAAAGGACATAGGAAAGTATTGGTTTGGAAACAGGGTAGTTGATGAGTGGAACAGTCTACCTAGTTGGGTTATTGAGGCTAGGACTTTGGGTAGTTTCAAATTAAGGTTGGATAAGTACACGAGTGGGAGGGGTTGGATTTGAGTGAGACTTGCACATCAGAGCTTATTTCTTGGGTGGCATTGAAAACTGGGTTGGGCAAATGTTTTGTTAGTGGGATGAATTGTAAAGGACCTGCCTAGTATGGGCCAACAGGCCTGCTGCAGTGTTCCTCCTTTCTTATGTTCTTATGTCCTTAGTATAAAAAAAATCCTGCAGCACACAGTGCGTAATGAGAAAAAAAAACTTTGACCGTGTTTTTGGATTAAAACAGCAACTTTGCACTGTATTTTTGTATGGTATTTATTGTTGTATTCTAGTTTTCCTGGTCTCATTTTATAGAATGGAAGACATATTACAGAAATTGAGATGATTTTGACTGGTTTTACAATGAAAAGTACCTTGAAATTGAGCTCAAAGTAGCAGAAATGTTCGATTTTTACCAAAGTTCAAAAGTAAACAAATCATGCTAAGCGTCCATTACACGTCAACTGGTGAGTCTAATATTCTTTCACAAGTGCGCCGATATTATTTATACCATCTATACACTAATGCAGTAGTCTGCATAACAGTAAATCTTCTATTTTTTGTGAGAATAAAAATTCAAAGTGGAAAGCAAAAGAATGTAAGAGGGGCCTGGAGACGTGACTAATGAACAGAGGAAATGTTATTTTAGTGCCAGGAATGTCTTTCTTGTTTATTCTAGACCCTATTTGGAAATTGGCATCTTTTGAAATTTGTGTGAAATTGGCAAAATTGCTAAATTCTGACCACTGAATTGGATAGTTGATATCGGTAAATGGGTGGTTTCTTGTACTCATTCGATAGAAAGAATGGAGTTCTAGCGAAATAGTTATGATTCTTGTCAACTAGTACACTGGAACTGGCCGAAAATAGGGCTCAAAGTGGGTAAAATCGCCGATGGGTAAACATCGTCGAGACCGCTAACTTCGTGAGAGCATAATTCCGTAAGTTTTCCATCAAATTTCATACTTTTGGTGTCATCATGATCGGGAAAAGTTTCTCTATCTTTTCATAAGAAGAAATATTTTTTTTTTTTTTTTGAAATTTGGGCGACCCTGAGAACAAGTCTGGGAGAGGGCCTGGGGACCCTGAAAGGGTTAAGGAACCTCCCTTGGGGGTTACTGAAGGATACAAAAGAAATGATAAGGAAGAATTCCTAGACCATTAACAAGGAAACCTAGAGGCTATAGCATAAACTAAAAAAAATGAAGCACCAAAGAGTTACAAGAAATTTTCTTACAAGCTTTGTGGTTGAATAAATGAGTAGTTACAAAAGACAGTAAATGCTCCAAACTCAGGAATTTTAAAAACAATCCACAGAAGCTTAAAAATGTTACACTATAAATTAATCATGAAAGACAAGAGATAACAAGCTTAGCTTTGCTGCTGTAACTGCACAACATAAATTGGGTTTGGCCCCAGTGAATTCCTACTAGCACTCCTTCACAGCTTAGTGCTTTTCATAGCATCCCAAATAAATTCATGAAACACCTACCATTTCCCAGCACCCAATATCTCTCAACTTCTACAACTTACACAGGAGACAAGGGCATATCCTAGCACAATGAAAATCTACCATTATCCTTCACTTTCACGAGCTAGGCAAAGACCCATCACTACCTACATCATCCTCATCTCACTATTATCCTGATCTGGCAAGAGCAGTGAAATATTTGTAAACACATGCCATCCAGACAAGTTTCACAACCCAGTGCTTAACCTGAAAATAAATTTTTTTTAATAGGATGGAAAGGTGGAGGGAGGAATAACTAATTAAAAAAAAAAGAAGAAAGGTCCAAAGCTTACAATCAAAGGGTACAACTGATAGACAGTAATTCCCATAGGGTTTTATTAGAACCAATTTATAGAATATTAAATTTATATCTTTAATAGACTTCCCACTTTGACAATTTTCTTCTTCTTATTCTTTTTAGTAATCTTTACAGGAAAAGGGGTTACTAGCCCATTGTTCCCGGCATTTTAGTTGACTTTTACAACACGCATGGCTTACGGAGGAAAGATTCTTATTCCACTTCCCCATGGATATAAAAGGAAAATTAATAAGACCAAGAACTATTAAGATAAAATCAAAGAAAACTCAGATGAGTGTGTATAAATAAATGTGTACATGTATGTGTAGTGTGACCTAAGTGTAAGTAGAAGTAGCAAGACGTACCTGTAATCTTGCATATTTATGAGACAGACAAAAGACATCAGCAATCCTACCATCATGTAAAACAATCACAGGCTTCGTTTTACACTCACTTGGCAGGACGGTAGTACCTCCCTGGGCGGTTGCTGTCTACCAACCTACTACCTACAAAAAGGAGGTTTTGTGGGTAAGGGGCTTGGACTTCCAGCAAGCGTGCGTGAGCGTGTTAGATAGGAGTGAATGGAGACGAATGGTACTTGGGACCTGACGATCTGTTGGAGTGTGAGCAGGGTAATATTTAGTGAAGGGATTCAGGGAAACCGGTTATTTTCATATAGTCGGACTTGAGTCCTGGAAATGGGAAGTACAATGCCTGCACTTTAAAGGAGGGGTTTGGGATATTGGCAGTTTGGAGGGATATGTTGTGTATCTTTATATGTGTATGCTTCTAGACTGTTGTATTCTGAGCACCTCTGCAAAAACAGTGATAATGTGCGAGTGTGGTGAAAGTGTTGAATGATGATGAAAGTATTTTCTTTTTGGGGATTTTCTTTCTTTTTTGGGTCACCCTGCCTCGGTGGGAGACGGCCGACTTGTTGGAAAAAAAAAAAAAAAAAAAAATCTTTAATAGTACATTTTACATGCAGACAATGATAAATATCAAGTACACACATGCAGATACAAATACAGAGCTCATTTACTTACCTGACTGATATTCTATTGAAGACTGCAGAAAAGTTGTTTACACTGAGAGCAAAGAGTACTTTTGATGCTAAGTTCTTGAGCTGAACTACCATAGGATTATCATTAGGTAAATCTGAAAAAGAAATGTTATCACAATCTTCTTGCAGATAGTCTTAAATCAAGGCATTGAGTCGTTTTCTTTCTGCTTTTAAGAAATTAACTACTGTCATTAAGAAATGTGACAATTTTATTTAAAAAACAAGGCAGTAAAAATTACATTACCCCTATATTTTTTTTAACAAACTGGTCATCTCCCACTGAGATAGGGTGACTCAAAAAAAAGGAGTTAAAACTTTTATTGTCATTCATTTAATCATTGTCTTGTCAGAAGCATGCTGACACTGCAGTTCAGATGGCCCCTCCATATTGCATATTCCCACCCAAACACAGTCATACTAGCAAACACAGTCATACTAGCAAACAGTCAATGCTGAATTACAGAAAATATCTGCCTGGATGATGACTAACAAACTTACCCTGAACACTGATAAAACCTATTTCATTCAGTTTGGGAACAAAGCTGCAAATGATCCAATTAACATTACGCTAAATGGATCATCAGTCACAAGACTCACAGAGGGAAAATTCCTAGGTATCCACCTTGACAGTAGCCTTAAGTTCCGGACAAACATACAACAAATCACCAAGAAAATCTCCAAGACTGTAGGCATACTATCAAAGATAAAGCACTACGTTCCACAGTCAGCTCTCCTGGCACTGTACCAGTCACTCATATACCCTTATCTTACATATGGAATTTGTGCATGTGGATCAACAACATCAAATCACCTAAAACCCCTAATAACCCAGCAAAAGGCAGCAGTAAGAATGATAACAAATTCCCACTCCCGCCAGCATACTCCAACAATTTTCAAAAGTCTGAATCTGCTTACCATTAAGAACATCCATACTTATTCATGTGCCTACTACATACACAGAACAATACACGCAAATATAAACCCCCCACTCAAACTTTTCCTCACCAACCTAAACAGGACACACAACCACAACACAAGACACAGATCTCTTTTTGATATACCTCGTGTCCATATCACACTGTGTAAAAACTCTATGCACATAAAGGGCCCCAAAATATGGAATTCATTACCAGAAGATATTAAAGTAACCCAGTCTGAAAATCAATTTAAGACTCTTCTCAAAAGCCACTTAATCACCCTAGACTAAATGCTAAATACTCAGTACACATTTACTCACCTATGTACTCCCACATCATAACTGAAACAATCACATTGAACCTTTTATCCATTGTTGACAGGAATATAATTGAATCATTGTTTTCCACAAAAGCATTTTAGAATATAAATACGTATATCTTTGTATTATACAAATTTTGATTCATTTATAATTAATATTCTACCATACAACTATGAAATAATTACTTTCCTACTGTACAACCATGATATACTACTCCTTAGTATTAACCCTTTGAGGGTTTCGGCCGTACTAGTACGGCTTACGAACCAGGGTTTTCGACGTACTAGTATGCCTAAATTCTAGCACCTTCAAATCTAGTGGGAGAAAGCTGGTAGGCCTACATATGAAAGAATGGGTCTATGTGGCCAGTGTGCACAGTATAAAAAAAATCCTGCAGCACACAGTGCATAATGAGAAAAAAAAACTTTGACCGTTTTTTTGGAATGAAACAGCGACTTTGCACTCTATTTTCGTATGGTATTTATTGTTGTATTCTAGTTTTCTTGGTCTCATTTTATAGAATGGAAGACATATTACAGAAATTGAGATGATTTTGACTGGTTTTACAATGAAAAGTACCTTGAAATTGAGCTCAAAGTAGCAGAAATGTTCGATTTTTACCAAAGTTCAAAAGTAAACAAATCATGCCAAGCGTCCAATACACATCAACTGGTGAGTCTAATATTCTTTCGCAAGTGCGCCAATATTATTTATACCATTTTTTACACTAATGCAGTAGTCTGCATAACAGTAAATCTTCTATTTTTTGTGAGAATAAAAATTCAAAGTGGAAAGCAAAAGAATGTAAGAAGGGCCTTGAGACGTGACTAATGAACAGAGGAAATGTCATTTTAGTGTCAGGAATGTTTTTTTTGTTTATTCTGAACCCTATTTGGAAATTGGCATCTTTTGAAATTTGTGTGAGATTGGCAAAATTGCTAAATTCTGACCGCTGTACTGGATAGTTGAAATTGGTAAATGGGTGGTTTCTTGCATTCATTCGATAGAAAAAATGGAGTTCTAGCGAAATATTCATGTTTTTTTGTCGACTAGTACAGTGGAATTGGCCGAAAATGGGGCTCAAATTGGGCAAAATTGGCGATGTGTAAACATCGCCGAGACCGCTAGCTTTGCGAGAGCATAATTCCGTAAGTTTTCCATCAAATTTCATACTTTGGTGTCATTATGATCGGGAAAAGATTCTCTATCTTTTCACAAGAAATTTTTTTTTTTTTTTTTAAATTTGGCCGACCCTGAGAACGAGTCTCGGAGAGGGCCTGTCGACCCTCAAAGGGTTAAGTAGAATATAAGCCAATAATGTTAAGTTGGCCCATAATGCCTAGGCATAACAGAGGCTCTCTTTGCATTGCAACCCACTATTGTATACACACAATCTCAATGTACTGTTTGCAAAGACATTAAATAAATAAATAAATAAAATAAATAAAATCCTCATCCCTCCTTCAAAGTGTAGGAACTGCACTTCCCACCTCTACAGGACTTAAGTTTGGCTAACCTGTTTCCTTAAATTCCTTCATAAGTGGTACCTTGCTCACCAAAAGTGTATGAAGTCATAAAAACTACTTGCCCCTACTCCTTTCTAAAGCAATCAAACTAGCCTGTTTTGATGTCCAAGCAGCTAGCCCATCTAAATCTCATTTACACCATCATGCCAATTCTTCCTGGGATGAACCCTACCCCTTCTTGCCTCCGCCCCAGATTTATACACCCTCCTAGTCATCCTATTTTGCTCCATCCTCTCCAAATGTCCACCTCAACAACCCGCTTCTCAACCCTCGGAATAATACTTTTGATAACCCCTCACTTTCTAATCTCCAAGGTCCGTATTCACTACATAATATTCACACCCCCTCTTGTTACCAATTCAAATTTTTTCTCATGAACTAACATGCAATCTATCTTTCTGCCTGCAAACACCACTCTTCTGCAAAAGTGAGGTTCACATAGCTGAGAGTATCTTCATTTTACATTCAATTTATCCATATATACTACAATTTAAACAATACACATGTCTTGAGGTTTCATAAATTCACACACATTTATTGTAGCATTGTTTTTTAACCCCTTCAGGGTCCAAGGCCCAAATCTGAAGTGGTGCCCCAATGTCCAAAAATTTAAAAAAAAAAAAAATTTTTATTTTTTCTTATGAAATGGTAGAGAATCTTTTTGTGAAGGTAATAAAACAAAAAGTACGAAATTTGATGGAAAATTGACGAAATTATGCTCTCGCGAATTTTGATGTGTCAGCGATATTTACGAATCGGCGATTTTGCCGACTTTGACTCCCATTTTAGGCCAATTACATTATTCCAGTCAACCAAATTCTTAGCTATTTCACTAGTATTACTTATATTCTATCGATTGCGCACAAGAAATCGCCAAGTCAACTGTTTCAACTACAAATTAAAGTGATCGGAAATTGTTAATTTGGCCAATTTAACACAAAGTTCAAAATATTCCAATTTCAAAATAGGGTCCAGAATAAACAATGTAGGTATTCCTGGAACTAAACTAACATTTCCTCTGTTCATTAGTTATGTTTTGAGGCTTTACAAATAAACTCCATTTTGATTTTTTATTCACATAATGAATTTTTATTCACACCAAAAAATAGAAGATTTACTGTTATGCAGTACTGTAATAATTGTATAAATATCATCACCATATTTGTGAATGCATATTAGACCCACCAGCTGGCGCGTATTAGACGTGTGAGGTTGTTTGTTTACTCTTGAATATTGGCAAAAATTTAACATTTCTGCTACTTTGAGCTCAGCTTCAAGCCATTTCCAGTGCTAAAACCAATCAAAATCATCTCTATTTCTGTAATATGTCTTCCATTCTATCAAATGAGACCAAGAAATCACAAATAGAACTATAAAAAACATACGAAAAAACACTGCAAAGTCGCTGTTTTAATCGAAAAATCATGATTTCAGTTTTTTTCTCATTATACACAGTGTGCTGCAGGATCTGTTTTATGTGGTGCACACATACCACATAGATGTATTCTCTCATATCTAGGCCCAAATGTACCAGTCACAGTTTATCAGAGTGAGCTGAGCTCATGGCGTAGATCTACGGTTTGGACACTCACCGTAAAGCCGTAGATCTACAGGACGGACCCTGAAAGGGTTAATATGCCAGTGTATAAAAAATTGGTCAATACATTAATGAATTTGGCTTTTTTTTTTTTTTTTTTTTTTTTTTGCTATTTCAACTGCATAGGTTGCCCCATCTTTCATTTTATAGTTGTAATTCTCCATGACAGTGCAATGACTCCTCCCTTTACACTTAATTCTCTTAGCAGTGTCCTTAATATACTGTATTATACAGACCTTATATCTTATCAGTCTTTTGTTTCCAATGTGTTGTACAAGGTAGGTTTATGCATTTATTATTATATACTAATAATTTTCCTCTTTGTTTTGAATTTCTACCATTAAACTTTCAACAGTATTTGTGTTATAAATTTTCATTTCTGCAACTTTATTTACTTTTACGTTAAACTGCTAAACTTATAAGGAACATATATCACCACACAACACAAATAAAAGTGTTAGAATAAAAAAAGTAGCAGAACTGTTGAAGAGGACATCAGCAAACAGACATAATGGTAGGCCACAGATGATGTAGCAAGGTGGAAGCAGACAGCCTGCAAGAGTGAGACCATCAGAGAGCTGTATTACAGCAGCAGCACCAAGTGACAGGCTTTAAGTCATAGTAAATTTAGACAAATGGAGAAATATCCCACTACTTTATTCACAATATGTGTTCCCAGTTAAATTTCAGCTAGACTCACTGTGCCAGGTCTCTTCTAATTCATGATGTCCCTAATCTTTCAGAGATTTCTCCACCTACACTTGTATATCTTTATTGACTATAGGTAAAAAAAACAAAAAACTTGAACACAATTTCTTTCTTAAGTACATATTAGAGTATTTTAATTGAATATGTAAGATGTGCACAAATATACTAACCAATGAACTGACACGTCTCTCGCAGTAGAAGCTTAACATTCATTGCCTCATCTCTTGTGGTATCTTTGGGCTGGGAGGACAAACATTTTTCTAGCGTGTCCAAAACAATCAGTAGTGACTCGTTCTTTTCAAAATCTGGCCCATGTGGCCGCTGGAATGAAAATAGAAAATTTACCTTAATTAAATGCAATCATCATCAATAATTTACTCACCTTTGAAATCAATATTACATAGTAACAGGAATTTACTCTGAGTGCTGACTTTTAACTTTGAGTAATAACAAAATCAAACTTTTGTTAACCGACCACTACCCTACTACATATTTTTATCACCAACAACCCATTCAAAACCAAAAAAAAAAAAAAAAAAAAAAATTAAGATTCCACAATGATGCTTCAACTAATAACATTATATCACTTACCACATTAATTAGGAAAGGGAGCCAAGTCTTAACACTAAAATAACTTTGGAGTAGAAAATGTCCTCATCATAAAACATCGCTACAATACATATATACCACCCAGAAAAATCTAGACAAACAACAAAAGGCTACCTGGAGTTTACCTGGAGAGAGTTCCGGGGGTCAACGCCCCCGCGGCCCGGTCTGTGACCAGGCCTCCTGGTGGATCAGAGCCTGATCAACCAGGCTGTTGCTGCTGGCTGCACGCAAACCAACGTACGAGCCACAGCCCGGCTGGTCAGGAACCGACTTTAGGTGCTTGTCCAGTGCCAGCTTGAAGACTGCCAGGGGTCTGTTGGTAATCCCCCTTATGTATGCTGGGAGGCAGTTGAACAGTCTCAGGCCCCTGACACTTATTGTATGGTCTCTTAATGTGCTAGTGACACCCCTGCTTTTCATTGGGGGGATGCTGCATCGTCTGCCAAGTCTTTTGCTTTCATAGTGAGTGATTTTCGTGTGCAAGTTCGGTACTAGTCCCTCTAGGATTTTCCAGGTGTATATAATCATGTATCTCTCCCACCTGTGTTCCAGGGAATACAGTTTTAGGAACCTCAAGCGCTCCCAGAACACATCACTCACAAAAGATCAACTGATATAAACATGATGAGAAAATGTAAAGGCTAGGTCTTCTCTTCAAGAAAACAGTAATCTGGAATCCTTGCATTAATAATTAGGAAGTCCAAATGTAATTACTCTTAACATTGGTCTAATGATTTCAAAGGAGCTGTTAGAAGAGCATAGAAAACTTTCCCAAATTCTAGGGTCAAAAAAAGTCACCAAAAAAATGAATAATCCTCTCCAAAGGAAAATAAACCCTCGTTTTCAATAACTGATAATAATAATTATAATAATAATGCTTATTTCTTTATGCAGTAAAAATAATGTAGTTTACATGAAATAATACAATGGTAGGCACAAAAGAAAGCCACTAATTATACAATGAATTTCAAGCAAATAATCATAAGTCTTAAACGTTACTTAAGAACTAGATATAGGCTATTAAGTAGGACTTCTTATACAGTTAGACAAAGTATACCCGGAGTATACCTGGAGAGGGTTTCAGGGTTCAATGCCCCCACAGCTTGGTCTGTGACCAGGCCTCGTGGTGGATCAGGACCTGATCGACTAGGCTGTTACTGTTGGCCGCACGTACACTGACGTATGAACCACAGCCTGGCTGATCGGGTACTGATATACCTTTGATATACCTTTACCTTTGATATACCTTTATCTCTGATATACCTTTGAAGAGCTTTGAGAGTTTCACAACTCTCGGAGCCCGGCCATGAGCCAGGCTCATCTATGCTTGCATGGTCAACCAGGCTGTTGCTGCTGGAGGTCTGTTGCCCCACATATCCATCACAGCCTGGTTGATCTGGCACCTGGTGAAGATACTTGTTCCAGCGGTGTTTCTGATATCTTCTGGTAAGATGTTGAATAGTCTGGGACCCCGGATGTTGACACAGTGTTCCCTTATTGTCCCCAATGCACCCCTGCTCCTCACTGGGTCTGTTTTGCACTTCCTCCCATATCTCTCACTCCGGTATGTTGTTATAGCAGTGTGCAGATTTGGGACCAGGCCCTCGAGTACTTTCCAGGTATATATTATCATGTATCTCTCTCTATCCTTCACTCCAATGAGTACAAGTTCAAGACTTGAAGGCATTACCAGTAATTTAGGTACTTACTGGCTCAATGTGAGCCATAAACGATCTCTGTATTTGTTCCAGCTCTCATATTTCTCCTGCTTTGAATGGGGCCATCAGCACTGTGCAATATTCTAAATGAGGGAGCACTAGTGATTTGAAGAGGGTCATCATCGGCATTATTTCCCTCGTTTCGAAAGTTTTCAATACCCACAGTCATCTTCCTGGCTGTCGTGATCTTTGTCATGGTGTGGTCTTTAACCCTTAAACTGACCAAACGTAGATGTATATTCACTTGTGTAGCGCTCCAAAAATAGATCTGTTTTTTTACATGCTTTCTTATGGAGAAAATCAAGGTCGGAGCGCTACACGCGAAAACGTAGATCTACGTTTGGGCAGTTGAAGGGTTAAAAGAAAGGTCAGCTGACATAATTATTCTCAGGTTTTTTACATATTCCTTTCATTCTATTTGGTGACCCTCTCGAGTTTTGTATATAAAGTTCCTTTTGGGTTTTTCATTCTTTCCATAACTAAGCAGCTGGAACTTATCATCACTGAATGTCATGTTGTTCTCCATTGCCCACTGGAAAACTCTGCTTATGTCTTCCTGTAATTTTTCAGTGTCCTCTACCATAGTGACTTTCATGCATATTTTAGTGTCATCTGCAAATGATGATACAATAGTGTAATGGGTGTTTTTATCTATGTCTGCTAGGAGAATGAGAAACAGCAGAGGTGCCAGGACAGTGCCTTGAGGCACTGAGCTTTTTACCTCGCTGATGCTGGATCTTGCTCTGTTTACTACTACTCTTTGTGTCCTGTGTTAGCAACCCAAAAATACATCTGCCTACCTTCCCCAAATGCCCATGGCCCTCATTTTGTGTGCTATCACTCCATGATCACATCTGTCAAACGCCTTTGAGAAATCTATGTAAATCACATCTGCAATTCAGTCATATTCCAACGCCTCTGTAATTCTGTCATAATGGATCAGCAGCTGTGACAGGCACAATTGTCCTGCTCTAAAATCATGCTGATTTGGGTTATGCTGGTTGTGCTGGTCCATGAAATTTCTAATCTGCCATCTCATCACTCTTTCAAACATTTTTGTGTGACAAGTTAGGGCTACTCATCTGCAATTTTTAGCTAGTGCTCTACTACCTCCCTTATGCAAGGGGTTATGTCTGCACTCTATAAGGCCTCAGGTATTTCACCTAGATCTAAAATCATTCTCCAAAGAATACTGAGGGCTCGTGCTTGTGGTACTTTGCACTTCTTTATAAACAGAGTATTCCATGAATCTGGTCCGGGAGCTGAGTGAGTAAGCATGTTATCCCTTTTCTTTTTTAAAATCTATGGGATTTGTACTAATGTCAGTTATGTAGTTAGTCAGTGCAGCCTTCTGATGGAGTGAAAATGTTTCTGCATTTTCTACCTTTCTGTCATTTAGTGGGTTGCTGAACACCAACTCATACTGTTCTTTTAGGATTTCACTCATTTCCTGTTCATCATCAGTACAGTGGACCCTCAGTTATCGGCCATAATCCGTTCCAGAAGCTCAGCCTAAGACTGAAATGGTCAAACACCAAAATAATATTTCCCATGAGAATTAATGGAAATACAATCAATCCGTTCCAGACAAAAATATTCACAAAAAGAAATAATTTTTTAAACAATTATGTAAGCATTACATACCTTTATTGAAGACTAATACTGACTTCTGATTGTACACATGTATATATATTATAGAACAATCGTAATAAACAATTTTTTATATTGTTTGTGTAAACAAGTTTTGTAAACAATATGATATTAGTGTTTTTGCTATAATTGTGTTACATTCAACGAATGTATGTATGAACATTGCACCATACTTTGGTCTCGCAGGCAATATTGATAGAATGGAAGATATATTACAGAAATAGACATGATTTTGATTGCTTTCATGAAGAAAAGTACCTTGAAATTGAGCTCAAAGTAGCAGAAATGTTCGATTTTTGCAGATGTTCAATGAACTTTGTGTAAGTCAAGTTGGTTAATTTTATTAAGTGTATTCTAACCTAACCACTCTGTAATCCGGCAAACTCAGTAATCCGGCACACTACAGGTCCCACTGATGCTGAATTTGTGATGGAGGACCTGTACCTCGTGTCCATATCACACTCTGTAAAAACTCTATGCACATAAAGGGCCCCAAAATATGGAATTCATTACCAGAAGATATTAAAGTAACCCAGTCTGAAAATCAATTTAAGACTCTTCTCAAAAGCCACTTAATCACCCTAGACTAAATGCTAAATACTCAGTACACATTTACTCACCTATGTACTCCCACATCATAACTGAAACAATCACATTGAACCTTCTATCCATTGTTGACAGGAATATAATTGAATCATTGTTTTCAAAAAAAGCATATTCGAAAATAAATATATCTTTGTATTATACAAATTTTGATTCATTTATAATTAACATTCTCTTGTGCAATTATTATTATTAACACACTGGCCAATTCCCACCAAGGCAGGGTGGCCCGAAAAAAGAAAAACTTTCACCATCATTCACTCCATCACTGTCTTGCCAGAAGGGTGCTTTACACTACAGTTTTTAAACTGCAACATTAACACCCCTCCTTCAGAGTGCAGGCACTGTACTTCCCATCTCCAGGACTCAAGTCCGGCCTGCCAGTTTCCCTGAATCCCTTCATAAATGTTACTTTGCTCACACTCCAACAACACGTCAAGTATTAAAAACCATTTGTCTCCATTCACTCCTATCAAACATGCTCACGCATGCCTGCTGGAAGTCCAAGCCCCTTGCACACAAAACCTCCTTTACCACCTCCCTCCAACCTTTCCTAGGCTGACCCCTACCCCGCCCTCCTTCCACTACAGACTGATACACTCTTGAAGTCATTCTGTTTCACTCCATTCTCTCTACATGTCTGAACCACCTCAACAACCCTTCCTCAGCCCTCTGGACAACAGTTTTGGTAATCCCGCACCTCCTCCTAACTTCCAGACTACGAATTCTCTGCATTATATT